GTGCCCCCACTCCATACTGGGACGCCCCCAATAGGTGCCCCCATTCCATACTGCGATACCCCCAGACCCCAATAGGTGTCCCCATTCCACACTGGGACCCCCTCATTCTATACTGGGACACCCGCAGACCCCAACAGCTGCCCTGGTTCCATAGTGGGACCCTCCCATTCCATACTGGGACACCACCATTCCACACTGGGACACCCCTATTCATACTGGGACACCCCCAGACTCCAATAGGTGCCCCCATTCCATACTGGGATACCCCCATTCCATACTGGGACCCCCCAATCCATACTGGGCACCCCCATTCCATACTGGGACACCCCTATTCATACTGGGACACCCCCAGACCCCAATAGGTGCCCCCATTCCATACTGGAACCCCCATTCCATAGTGGGACCCCCCCAGCCCCACACACGGGGGTTGTAGGGACCCACTGCCCCACACTGCGTCTGCTGAGCCCCACCGCCCCCAGCCCCACACTTGGGTGCTGTGCTGTCCCCCAGCCCCACGCTTTAGGTATGCACTGCGCCCCACCACCCCCAGCCCCACACTTGGGTGCTGTGCTGCCCCCAGCCCCACACTTTGGGGATGTGCTGTGCCCCCAGCCCCACACTTTGGGGATGCCTTGTGCCCCACTGCCCCCAGCCCCACCCTTTGTGGATGCACTGCGCCCCACCGCCCCCAGCCCCACCCTTTGGGGGCGCGCTGTGCCCCAGGTGCGGCCGGCACCCACCAGGGCGACGATGTTCCAGGGGTGCTTGCGGCGCAGCTCCCCGCAGCAGCTGAGGGCGATGAGGGAGGCGAAGAAGACGCCGTAGGAGACGTAGTAGGACCAGACGTGGCGCCGCACGAAGGAGCGGACGCCGCCCGCGAACGTGAAGGCGGCCACGAAGCCCAGCGTCACCAGCAGCTGCAGCGTCAGCACCGCGAACACCTGCGGGGCGGCCGGCACGGCGGGCGTCGCGACACAGGGGACGGGGTGGCGATACGGCACGGGTGGTCGCGATATGGGGGGTGTGTTACGGTACGGGGAGGGTCACCACATGGGGGTGTCGCGATATGGGAGGGAGGGTCGCGATATGGGGATGGTCATGACACGGGAGCGTTGCAATATGGAAGGGATGGTCACGATATGGGGATGATTGTGACATGGGGGGGGTCATGATACGGGGGGATGGTCACGACATGGGAGGGTTGCGATACGGGAGAGATG